TGGCTGGATTTTTTGTCACCGGCTTGAAGAGGTTCTCTTGGATCAATCAGAGACTTTGCGATGTCCCTGTGATGAGCAAGATGTATTCTTCCTGTTCACGGTCTCTGCGGGACGGTTTAGGTCCATTTGGACCACCCAGAGACAAAAGTGTCGACTGCAATCTCAGAGCATTGAGATCGCATGTCGTGTCATCGTGACTTCGGTTCCTCCCATCAGTCCCACAAACTTTTGTTTCCCTGCACACGATGGTGTGAAATGCGACTGAGCTGGAAATCAGGTAGACAAAGAAATGGTTGGGGGAAGCGAGGGCATCTTGGTGGTGGTAGGTGTGGCAAGCTTTTCTGTCTACAAAAACCTTGTCTGTGACGGCTGATGCTGAAAGGCAGAGAAAGAGCTGCTGGGAAGAAGACAGTCGGCCCAGGAGTTGGGAATACCTTGCATCAATAAAAGGGGAAGGTGGCTAAGTGAGGGCAGAAAGCCTTGCCATGCTTGGCAAGGGGAAAAGAAATGGCAAGAGCATCCCCCTCTTTCTCCAGACACCCCAATGAAAGGCAGTGCAGCCTGGCTGCTTCCTTTCCCTGCCCTCTCCAGCGCTGGAAGCCAACTATCAGCCACACACCCAATCACCATTCATCTCTCTCTCTCTCTCTATCTCTGGGTTTACCTGGTGCCACAGTCCACCACATAGGCTAGGAAGGGTGTACCTATGGCGGGGTGGTGGCAGCGTGGCTGGGTATGCTCGGCAAACTGCTTGATGAACTCATGCAGGCAGATATAGAGTGCGCCCAGGCGGCAGACGTGGGCCAGGAGGACAGCCTTGCTCAGATGCAGGAATGGTAGCAGCTCTGTGGACACCTGCAGGAGAAGAGGAGGAAGGGTGCTGGTCCAGGCCCATGGAGGGAAGGAGGGCCTTCTCTCCCCGCCCCATCGCCACGCCCACTTGCAGGCCACTGCCCACAAAAAGGCTGTCTGGGTAGCTGCGCAGCTCCAGCAGCAACTCATGGATCATAGCACTGCACGGGGACCAGGCTTGAACCCTTCTTTGCATGAGTCTCAACGATGCCCCTGGCCTCCTTAGGATAAAACTGTCTCCGGGTGCTAGATTGGCCCCCTGTGAAGCCCTCATGTGCCATGGAACCCATCCGAGGCCTCTGTTGCCATCCACTGAGGCGCCTGGATTCCCAGTGATGGATGGGGTCCTTCAGGCACGTAGCTTGGACTCATAAAGAAGGCAAAATAGGGCTTTCCAAATTTTCATTGGCTTGGTAAGTATGTGACGTGTCATTTATCTGGCCTGATAGGATATGTCAGAATAAGGACAGACTTTTTGACAACTAGAGACAATTAGTATTAAGTTCATTGAAGTTTTCCTGTTTTTTTTTTTTTTTTACTTTCAATAGATAATATAGATATGGAAACTTTTTTTGTGATACAACTTTTAGAAACTGACTACATCTTTTTTGGTAGCCATACAATTACAGTTAAACTCATGATTGGATCTAAATTTAGTGTGTTTTTCGATACCTCAATAGTGAAATGTTCTTGAAGGCTTTATATCTACAGAAATCACTGCTTTAAGGAGAAAATTTTATCTTTAGTAAGGGAAGGTGATTATTGTTACTACTTCGATTCAGTTTATACAGATAATTAAATTACTGTATTTTTTGGAGTATAAGACGCACTGGAGTATAAGATGCACTGGAGTATAAGACGCACCAAGGTTTTGAAGAGGCAAATTTAAAAAAAAAAAGGTTTTGCATTCTGCAAACCTCCCAAAAAAGGCTCATTTTTATCGAAACAGGCCCATTAAAAAAAAAGCATGAATAGCCCTTAGAAGGCTTGTAACATGATCCTCGGGGTGGGGGTGGGGCAAAAATGAGCAAAAATTGTCCCATTTTTCATGAAAATTGGCCCTTTTTTGTCAAAAAAAAAAACCCACCAATTTTTTGCTCATTTCTGTCCTCCTCAGCCCCGGGAGCATTCTATAAGCTTCCTACACGTTATGCATGGGCATTTTGGTAAGGGGGCGGTGTTTCAGGGGGCAAAAAAATTGCTGTATTCAGTGTATAAGAGGCTCCCAGATTTTCAGCCTCTTTTCTGACGGAAAAAGATGAGGCTTATACTCCAAAAAATACGGTATGCAATTTTCCCAATAATCTAGTATTGGGTTAAGTTTCCCAGGCCAATATGAAAGTTCTCACAGTGGTCTTCTGGAGTGGCTTCATTTATTTTGCATAGATCAAAATGATTCTCTAGTCTTCCTAAGTAAAACAAAGTTCCAACAAATCTCAAGTTCCAAGTTCCATAAAGGGTACTTGGTGCTCTCTCAGCTTCGTTGTTTTCTTGCAGATGTTTCATTACCCAAACTAGGTAACTTCATCAATGATAGAAGGTAGGGTTGCTGTCATTTTATATTGTAATGCCTTGCCCTTCCTTCTCACCCTCCCTCACCCCTTTCTAAAAGATGAAATTAAGAATATTGTGCAAAAGTTTCATACTCAGCTAGTGGTATTGTGAAAAACATGATTGCTTTACGCATACTGTTTCCCAATTGGAATGTTTTATTTTAGAAAAGGATATTCTACAAATAGTTTAATCAAATACATATAGATGCATAGTAATATATGCACATTAAACAAGTGAAAGGGCCATTCCATAAGCAAACTATCTTGCTCAGTGCTGTTTTTTCTAAAAGAAGTGTTGAGCAAACACATTATTGCTGCATTTCTATTAAGATCACAAAGACTACTTCACATGAAACAAAAGACCTGAGCTATTCCATTTCCTGATAAAAATATAATATAAATATCTTTTCAACCTGCTTTCTGTTGCTTTGCCCATCTAGGCCAGAATTATCTTTCAGAAGAAGTGGGACAAAGATATATATTTAAATTTGTATTTGTCCCCTTGTATGAAATTCAAGGGACATGGTGGCTCAGTGGCTAAGACACTGAGCTTGTTGATCAGAAAGGTCAGCAGTTCGGTGGTTCAAATCCCTAGCGCCATGTAACAGAGTGATCTCTCATTACTTGTCCAGCTTCTGCCAACCTAGCAGTTTGCAAGCAATTAATGCAAGTAGAAAAATAGGGACCACTTTGGTGGGAAGGTAACAGCATTCTGTGCGCCTTCGGCATTTAGTCATGCCGGTCACATGATCACAGAAACCTCTTCAGCTAGCGCTGGCTCTTCAGCCTTGAAACGGAGATGAGCACTGCCCCCTAGAATCAAGAATGACTAGCACATATGTGCGAGGGGAACCTTTACCTTTACCTTACCTTTATGCAATTCTTATGCTGACTGTAAATTGCATGTTTTAATTATTATAAATGGTCCTGGATATATAGCAGAAAAATAACAAATAATAAATATTTACATTTGATATGTTATCTAAAAGCAATTTTTATAAACAGATGTATATAGGAATCATTTTTTCTCAGAAGCTATATAAATATTTTCCAAATTTAAAATTACATGGCTGCAAACACTAATTAAAAAATCCACTTTTGGGTAATTACATTCTAATAACATTTTGAGTATGCTATATGAAAGTCCGCAAAACATATGGCTCATAGGTTTCATGCTACTTACATATTGCCTTGCCAATTTTTATTGAAATTCAGTAAATCCTCCACTGCCAAATGTCATTTCTACAAACTTGTGTCATATAGATACTGTTGAGTACCTATATTACAGTGATGGCTAATCTTTTCTGCACCGAGTGCCAAAATGGGAACACGTGCAATCCTTTTTGGCACTGAGTGTCAAGTGCGAGCGTGCGAAGCACACATGCACACCGAAATCAGAAAAGTAGATGATCTACTGGTTTTCAGCATGCACATGTGCGCCAGCCACCTACTTTTCCTGTTTCTGGCATGCATGCATATGCATGTGCAAAGACCAGCTGTCCAGTGCTCATGTGCCAGCTCCACCTGGGGTCCTCATGCCTCCCTACCTGCCCTCTGCCCTCCCCCTGCCCCCATTGGGGTGGTGGGACATACCTACTGATGACCTGGTTCTGTAGCCTCGGACAGCGAGAGAAAGTTGGGCTACCTGCCTCGGCTGGAAAACCGGAACCCCTTCCCGGCCTTGGAGGTAAGGGGCATCAGTGTTCCTGGGGCTTGGGTTGTGGAGCCAGCAGGTGGAAGAGCTTTGCTCCAACTCTGGCCAGGATGAAGCACCGTCCCCAGCCCACCACCAAGAAGAATCCAGCGCAGCCTTTCCCCTTCCCCGTTGCTTTCCGGCTTACACGCCTCTTACCCTTTGGTAGCATCTCCATGCTGCACTCTCCACCGGCCCTCCTGGGGCAGCTCGCCTCCCTGATGGTGCCTTCTCTTGCTTTTCATGCTCCAGCATCCCAGCTGGGAGCAGTAGCGCTAGAACTGCTGGCATCCCACCAGCATTCCGGATGTGCAGCAGTGCCACGGGCTGGAGGACTGGGGCCACATAAGAAGCCTGCTCGGACAGGGATGGAGGGAAGTTCTGGCACACCTGTTCTGGCTGGCAGCTCTGCTCCCCTTGTAGGTTCCCGCATGTGCACTGGCCAACTGGTCTTTTGGTTTTTGGCGCTCCTGTGGTGAAAGCCAGCTGGCCAGTGCACCAGAACCCGGAAGAATGAATGATGGCTCCACGCACCCAGAGAGATGATTCTGAGTGCTACTTCCGGCATGCATGCCATAGGTTTGCCATCACAGCTATATTATCTCCATGCCTCATTGACACCATCCGCTGCACAGTACTGTTGTACTACTAAGTGCTGAACAACAGATAGCATGACCATTATTCCTAATTCCTTTTAATTTATCAGTGTAATTATTTCCAATCCATGAATTAGGCCTATCTGGAATATAATGACCCAACAGTACTTTTTTATTTAAAAAGCATATCCTTTCGCCTCTTATAATAATGTGCAGAATATTTTCAGTGCTACAAGTGCAAGATTATACTTTTATATATGAAATAATATAGGATATAGTTAAAATCCTTTTTCTTGTTCCATGCAGGTGAAACTGAACAGGAGCTGGGACCTCCTCCCTCTGTAGATGAGGCAGCAAACACACTCATGACTCGCCTTGGCTTCCTTCTGGGAGAAAAAGTGACTGAGCTACAGGCAGGGAATCAGTATAACATGGAAGGACAGGAAGACAATCAGGTGAGCTTAAAACTTTGTGTAGAATTATAATTATTTTATTATATTCTATTTCTGGAAAACAAAAAATTACATGTTATGATTCAAATCTCATCTTGTATTAGATGTATGAAAATCATACATATTGGTGATAAACTAGGACTTATCAGGCAAAAGCAAGTAGAACAAGTCCACAAAGTTTCAAGAATCACCAGACTGACTGCATTCGCAATTGAGCTGGTAGATAAGGGCTGCACTGACTCATACTCTCCTTCCCTTGACATCCCTGTGCTCATGCCACATCACCACACCTCTCTTCTAACTCATGTGTGGCTTGTCCAATGATTTTGACAAAGACTGGGACTACCTGAACGGTCATTATTAAGCAATATTGTCATGTGTCCATATTGCTTAATAACAGGGGTCTCGATCCCAATTGCCAGCATAACTCAAGGATTACCTATAGAATATTATTCTGGATGAGTTTGAGCAGTTGCATCTGTTGACAAAGAACAGTTCTTTTCATAAAAGCTGAGCAAGTTGATGTGGTTCTTACAATGCTAGGTCATTGGAAAAATATATGGACCTATTCTCCATATCTGGTCTTTAAAAAAGTTTATCTATTCATCTTTGAGTAATATGGCCAGGGCAGATTCCTTAAGTTACTCCATCTCATGTTATTAGTCTGATAGCAAACTCTCCCTTTCCATATTTCAGGGAAGGAAGCCCAATGATGATTCATCTTCAAAGATAGGAGTCTTTTAGAAATTTTAGTCTAGGGGGCAGAAGAGTTGTCAACATACATACAGACATACAGATATACATATACATCCTAAAGCAACAAGAACGAACGTTGATACTTACCTGAATGTCGCTTCTCATGAGGGGAGCGGGAGGTGCTACAGTTGGGCTGTTATCAGTGCTGATTGGTCCATAGACTGAGAGAAAGTGGTGCAGTCACGCCTCTACTCCTTTTGCCCAGTTCCTCAAGGTCGCATGGAGTACAATGATCTACAATAGAATTTCACAACAAGGGTACTCCCCGGGCAGTCCGCTATGACTAACTAGGGTAGGATGTAGCATTTCCTGCTCCCCTCATGAGAAGCAATGTTCAGGTAAGTCCCAACGTTTGTTCTCCATGATAGGGAGCGAGAGGTGCTACAATTGGGACATACTCAAGCTACAGTCCACAGAGTGGGGAGCATGACGCTTCAGCTGATGCATAAGTATTTAATCTACAGTGATGAATAAAGGAAGTAGGGGATGCCCAAGAGGCTGCCCTATAGATATCTTCAAATGGTGCTCTAGTCGCCCATGCCGCTGTGGTAGCCGCATTTCGAGTTGAATGTGCGGTAGTACCCTGAGGTGGAGTCTTATTCTTTATCTTGTAGGCCAAAGATATGGTTCCCCTTAACCATCAGCCTATGGTTGTTGGGGTGACTCTAGCTCCCAGAGTGGTCGATTGGAATGACACCAGCAACACTTCCAACCTATGGAACAAAGCCGTTCATCTGAGGTAAATCCTCAGTGCCCTATGGACATATAACCTGTGCCAGAGACATTCTCTTGCGTGGGATGGAGCCGGACAGAAGTTGGGTTATACTACCTCTTGCATCCTATGAAAAGGAGTGCTTATTTTTGGGAGGAAGGAGGGATCTAACCTTAGTGTTACCCTGTCCTGATGGAAAATGCATTTCATCTCGAAAGAGCTCCAAGCTGCGAAATGTGTCTTGCCAATGTAATGGCTATTAAGAATGCAACTTTCAGAATCAAGAGCTGAAGAGAGATTGTGCATATGGCTCAAATGGAGGTCCTGTCAAAGCCTGAAGGACAATGGTAAATCCCACATAGGGAATCGGTGTATGACTGGTGGGGCCAGATTTGCTGCACCCTTTAAGAACCACTTAATAAGCAGTAGGTATGATAAGGGGACTTGACCTTCCCCGGGTAGGACAGTTGAAAGTGCTGCAATTTGGCAGTGCAGAGTGTTGTGGGCAAGGCCATTGTCCAGTCCGTGCTGCAAAAATTCCAGGACCTGTTGTATCGAGGCATCAGAAGGGGATATGGATGTCGACCCACACCACCTGACGAACACTGACCACGTGGCATTGTAGATCCTTGTGGTCAACAGTTTTCTGGATACCTCCAAAGTGGAGATAACTTTTGCGGAAACATTCGCTTCCTTCAGGAGGCCCTCTTCAAATGCCAGGCGGTCAGTTGGAGCAACTGGGGCTCTGGGCATATCAAAAAACCCTAGCACAGACAGATCTCCTCCCTGGGGATTTTCCACGATGGGGACGCAGACAATTGTATTAAGTCTGCATACCACAGTCTCCTGGGCCAGTCTGGTGCTATCAGGATTACTTCCGCCCCCTTTAACACTACCATTCTGATGGTCCCTGGAAGAAGGGGAAGCGTACAAGAGGCTTGTTGGCCATCTGCATCTCAGAGCATCTCTGTCCTCAGCCCCTCGTGTCCAGTATCGGGATACAAACTGGGGGAGTTGCGCATTCGCCGGGGTTGCAAAAAGGTCTATCATCGGTGTCCCAAACCGACGGCAAATGTGGTGAAAAAGATCTGGATGGAGCTGCCACTTCCTATGGTCCACAGTGGCCCAACTGTGCCAATATGCTTGATGATTTGCAGTCCCAAAGATATGGTCCGCTATAATCGAGGCCATATGCATCTCTGCCCACGAGATGAGTCTGTGTGCCTCTGTCCACAAAGCTTTTGAGTGAGTCCCACCTTGCCTGTTCATGTGTGCCTTCGTGGCGATGTTGTCTGTGAGAAGTAACACGTGCTTGCGTTGCAAGTCTGGCTGAAAGTGATGCAATGCCCGACTGGCCACTTTCAGCTCGAGATATTTATATTGTGGCGCAGATCTGTGGCAGTCCAATGACCCTGCGGCAGCTTTGAGCCCATCAGTGCCTCCCAGCCATAAAGACTGGCATCTGTAGTCATGGTTACTCTCGTCGGCTCTCTGAACTCCGATCCTCTGGTGAGTGCTGCGGAGAGCCACCACCAGAACAACAGGCAGACCTGTGGAGACACTGGAATGGCCAAAGGTGAGTTGCTCATCATTTGTTTTTGATATGGGATTAAGGCCCACTGCAATGTCCTGGTGTGAAAGCGCGCCCAGGGAACTTTCCCAATGCACGATATCATTGTGCCTAGTGGATGTGAGAGGTCTACTATAGGTACTGCCCACCTGGAATGCACCTTATGGATTATTTTTTGTAGATTAGACCTACAGTCTTGAGACAGAAAGACCAACTCAGCTTCTGAGTTTATTATTACTCCTAGGTGCAAAATTCTCATGGTGGGCGTGAAGTGGCTTTTAGAAAAATTGACAGAGAATCCCACCTGTTGAAGGGTGCTAATGGTGAGGTGAAGATCCTGAATTGCCTGATCATAAGAATGGACCTGCACTAAGACATCATCAAGGTAGCATTGGAGCCTTACTGGGATAGAACCAAGGTAAGCTGCCAATGCTGCCAGAACCTTGGTGAATGACATCGGGGCTGAGGCCAGCCCAAAGGGGACCCCTCCTGAGCGAACCTGAGGTATCTGCAGTGGGATGGTAATACCGGGATTTGTAAATACACTTCAGTGAGGTCTATGGAGGTCAGATAGTCTCCCTGTCTGATCCCTTGTAACATGGACCTCAGTGAGGCCATTTTAAAACATCTATAAACGATGTACCGGTTTATACATTTCAGATCAAGGATCGCTCTCCACCCACTCACCCACGAACTCTTAGAGATTGTAATAAAATCCCAACTCCCGCTCTTCCAACGGAACCGGCTCTATTGCTTGAATTTCCAATAAATGTCGAATTGCTAGCCTTACAAGATTACATTTTACAGCGTTTGAGAAGAAGGGAAGGACCTGAGAGATTCGGAGGGGAGGGGAAAAATTCTAATCTGAGGCTTTGTTGTACAGTTGCAAGAAACCCAACCATCCATTGTTATGCATTTCCATTGTGACGCAAAGTGATACAGGAATACAGCCTATGGGAAGAGTGGGATTAGAATCATTTCCCTCTGTGGAAGGGACGACCACCTCCCCCACGAAAGGGCCATTTGGACTGGTCCTGGGTTCTATTCTTGTCAGGGAAATAATTCCTGTTTTAGAATCGATCCACTCTGGGACCATAGTACCTGTTCTGATGGAAGTCAGGCTCACTGGGATGGAAAGAGGGTCATCTGCGGTAAGGAGCAGATTGGTTCTCCTGTCACTTGGTTGTAGTGGGAAGCACCTTCTTTTTGTCCTTGTTTTCAATTAATATAGGTTCAAAGGACTCGCCAAAAAGAGACCCTCCTGCATAAGGTGCAGACGCTAAGTGGAACTTTGACTTGTTGTCTGCTTGCCAGTTCCTAAGNTGGGTAAAATGAGGACCCGGATTGTTGTTGGGGGCAATATGCTGACTCTGTAAATCGCTTAGAGAGGGCTGAAAGCCCTATGAAGTAGTATATAAATCTAACTGCTATTGCTATTGCTATTTCAACACTCACTTGCTTCTCCTCTGCTTCCTCAGTAGACTGCTGGTTAACTTCGGCTGCTGCTGAGGATGGCATGTGGGAGGCTTGACATTTCTGAATTACAGCAGTGGACTGGGTTGCCTGTTCAGCCACTCGAGCTTCATCTAAAGCCACGGCTAAGGTTAGCTCTGTTTTAGCTAGCAGGCGGAGCTGAAGCCTCAAATCCCTGCTGCCATAAATTAGTTGCTCCAGTAATGCCTCGTCGAGATCTGGAAACTCGCAATAAATTGTGGCTTGTCTGAGAGCTACCATGAATTGGGTGACAGTCTCATTTTCCTTTTGAACACACTGGCGAAATGCGAAACGTCTAGCAAAGCGGGAGGGAGCCAGTGCGTAGTGTCCCTTTAGCTTGGCTATTAAGACTTCCCAAGGCACTGTCTGCACAGAGGCAGGGGCTGCCAATGCCATGGAGAACATTTCTGGGCCACATAAACGCAAAAAGTAACCTCTCTTCCTCTCTGAGCTAATGCCTGTCAAGTCATGAGCGATAAGGAAACACTCGAAGCGCTGAATAAACGCCTCCCACAACTCTCTCTCGGGCATAAAAGCTGCAAATGGAGGTATAGCCGTCATGCTGGGATTGTTATCAGTCGTTATCTCTGTAATTAGCTGTTAGTCTATGAATCCACAACCTCATCGCCAGTGGAAAGTCTTCTCCTCAAGAAACTGCTGGAGACAATGTAACGCTAACCATTTATTAACGTAGCTGACAACGAACAAAGTAACGAACTTAACTGACAGCCTTTTATATGAGGCTGTCAAACTGTTAACCAATAGGAAGCTTCCCCAGCTTCCTCGAGCCTGCACACGCGCCAGCTTCAACGGCTTCCTTTTCCCCCCATTGATTGACAGTCTTTCTCGAGACTTCAGAACATAGCAGCAATTACAAGAGGGTGGTCCTATTAAAGAAGAAAGCAGCCACTATTGATTTTATGGCCCATGCTGAAGCCTGGAACCCTTTCCATAAGATGAGTTCCGCTTTTTTATTTTCAGGCTTCAGTTTGTCTGCTATATCTCCTGAGACAACAGCGGCAGAAGATGACAGGGCCATGACTGCGGTATCGACAGAAGGAGCCTGAAGTGCTTGCGAAAGTCCCTGATCTACGTTGTAAAAGCATCGGTCATTCCCTTCTGGATTTGGGAAATTCCCTGGATGAGCCCACTGATTCTTCACTACCTCTAGAAATAGAGGGGGAGCAGGGACCTCCTCCTTATCCATGGCAGCCTTAGCAAAAATTGTCTGGGGCAAGTCCTTACAGCTATCAGTGGATGCAGTTGTGGAGTTTCCACCCAACTTAGGGGTCACCTTAGCTTTGCCCAAAAGTTGTTTGAAAGAGAAGGTGGGAAGAGTCCAGAAAAGGCTGGAGTGTCTGGTTTTGTTGACTCCTCATCCTCAGAAATTATTAAATCATGCTGAGGTTCCTCTGCCTATACAGGCCCCTCATTAGCCAGCAAGGGGGACCCTGGTCTACGCTCTCCACTTGTCTGACTCCTGTGTATGATTGAGGCTGGGTGTCTTTGCGCCCCTAAACCTGAGTGCCCTGTTGCTTCAAGCATAAAGCAATGCTCTGAGAAATTGCCACGGTAATTATTCTTTGAAGGCTTGACGGTAGGTGTTCCAAGGACTCAAGGTCCTCATAGGGGTCTATAGGGATCTGTGGATCGGGAGCCTGGGGGGCCAGGGTGACTGGAGGAAGGAAATCTCTGGAGGTTCCCTCAATGGGATCTCCTGTTATGCTCCTGATTGCTGATGGAGAAACTGATGGTGAAGGGGAAATGTCCATCCTTCTGCTTCTAACCAGGGACAATGCTGGGGAAGAATCACGGCTATAACCTCTGGATGTAGACCTAGACCTGCCTTCCCTTTGGGCTTCCAACAGGTGTTCTGCTTGGGCAACCCGCTTCTCTGGGGCCCTCTGTCTGTGCTGCTCATCACATAGCACTGCTCTGGATTGGCGCTGAGTAGCTGGGGTGTTATTAGAGTTGGCTCTAGTGGTAGGCCTAATCGCCCCCAGTTCCGGACTCTGATTATCGGGTTCAACCCAGGGGTTCAAGTCCTCTGATTGAGAACCTTTGGCAGCCGCCATTTCTTCCCCCTGGTCTACTCAGGGCACCACTCAATTTGATGCAGTTCAATTTGTGGGGAAAGGCAGTAGCGAGACTTGTCTGGGCCTGATAGGAAGATGTCTGGATTCAAAGAGCTCTGAAAGTTCATTGGCCTTGTGCTTCAACAAAATGGCCGTCACACTGGTCATCTCAAAATGGCCATCCGACTCTCTGACTGTTGACAAAGATGACCCGCCAATCTGTGGCACCAGGTAGCCAGTTGCACAATAAGCATTGTTGGCGATACTCCCTTTAAGGGTCCTGCAAAGTTTCGCCGACGGCTGAAACCTGGTGGCGCTAAATGAAAGCCAGACAATCTGAGCACTGTGGAGCGGTGGCTGGCTGACTTCAAGCCTCGTCACTTGACAAACAGCCTTCCCGAGTGACGGACTATGGCCGCACGAGCCTCCAATGTACTTTATTTTAGCCAGCTGCACCAACCTCAAATTTAATTATCTCTGCCGTAGGCGACCAGATCCACAACCTGGACCAGCGATCAGGTGCCTGTCAGGGGAAGGCATTAAACACCCCCTCCTTGCGATAATTTGGTTGAATTTTAATGTGAAATCCAAATTTAATTTTAGAGACAAAGTAGCCAATTACAGAATTTAGTTTAAAGCCTAATTTAAATTTGAAAAACAGTTTTAAGAAAGCTACAATAGAGAAAATGAATTATTATGTTTATGATTATATTCAGTGTATTCTTCACTGTTATAGTGAAACCCTATAAGCTTTACTGATAGCTTTACTGTGATGTTTGTGTTCCTGCTTCCAATTTTCCAGACTTCAGCAGTTTCCCAGTGAATAAGTCCTTGTTCTACACTGACCAGCAGTGCTGCTTCACCACCTGCCAGTAGCCCTTGTTTCACCCTCCCTCAAACTAGTGCTAAGGATGTTATAGCAAAGGACTGCAATTATGGAGCTGTCACAAGTCCTACATCTACTCTTGAAAGCAGGGATAGTGGCATCATAGGTGAGTCCTAGATATGCACATATTTATTTTAAAATTCAGCTATACAGTATTGAATGTTAATATTTGCAGCATCATGAAAGGAATTGGGAAAAGCGGAACAAATATGAGGAGTCCTTGGTACTCTCTGAGCTTGGTTGCTTAGTTGCAGATGTTTCATCACCTAAATTAGGTAACATCATCAGTGCTGACATTATCTGTTTTGGGTAATGAAACAATTGCAAAAAATAAAAATAAAAATGACTTGTCTAAAATCTTTCTGCTTTAAATAACATTTTGGGAGATACCATTTTTTAGAAGTTTGTTAAGGACGGAAGCTGAAATTTTCTGTAAATGAATTAAGCTACTGATACTTAAAACTTTGGGGCTTTGGAGAAAGAAACAATCTTTTTGGGGGGTTTGTCACACATGAAACAGTTCCCAAGATAGAGAAAGGAACTGTTCTTGTCACTAATCAACATTTTGTAAGGGCAAAAGTTACCAGAGCCTTTTCCACATCCACAATGCTGATAGAAGGATGTTCAGGAGGCATATCAGATATAAATGGAGATAAATTCCAGTTTCTCGAGTTGTGTACCAAACAAGAAACAAATAAAATGAAAGTTCAACCTAAGAATTGCTTCCACTCATAACTGAGATGAAGAAACCAGTGATGTGAAATAAGGTACAAAGTAGAATGTTGAATGTCTCTCAGAAGCTCTGCCAATACTGTCCTTTTCAAAGACACTCAGAAAGTTTAAATGGGTCAATATTGTTATCATCCAGTCTTGTGATGAGGAGACAGGGAGAACATGGAATCAGTAATGTCAAATGAACTTTGAAAATGATTCAAAGTTACATGCAGTGTAATCTCAATTAAGAAAATAAGGGACTACTTGGTAGAAAAGAATTATTAAATCTCCAAAATGTGCTGCAAAATGTTTGAGAAAGTGAATACAATTCTTGCCTGCATTACCTTAAATCTGTGAATAGCAGCAAAATCTCAAGAAACAACATAGTTGAGGTGGTCTATTTCCAATTCAATGATGAACTATCTCTGTACTGTCTTGTTACAGGGGATATTTTGTTGGCTTCTAGAAATAAATTTTCTAAACCAGAAACAATTTAAAGTCCAAAATGAATTACTTTTGAATTTAGCTGCTATAGTTCATTCCATAGGTCTTTTTGGAACTCAAATCTGAAGTGTTATAATCCTGCCAATTAATAAAATAGAAATATATTTTCTGTATAACTAGTATATTAAAAGTGAGAAAAAACATTGGAAAAGCTCAAGTTAAACATGAGGAAAAATGTGTATTTTGAAGTTTAATATTTAGAAAACTTAGAAAGTTTTGTCCTAGCTCAGTTTGAAAAGTCTTCCTTTGAGGTAAAGCTTGGTTAAAAAAGATAAATTTGTTTTTGCCGGTTAATATGAGAAATATCTTATATTGAGGTCATGAAAAATATTAAATAAAGGTGGTTGAAGTCTGTGCCAGATAATAATGGCTTGTGAATATATTTTCCATCAGTGTCAAAATATCAGTATTGCAGATAACAAATGCAATATAATAATAATACATGAATAAATATGAGAGCTCTAAAAATCCTATATGTAGCAACGGTTGCATATATCAATTGATACGTATGTTCTCCCAATATAATTGAAATCATTGCATGGAACCATGCAGTTTTGTCTTTTTTCAAATGGCCCAAATTTCCTTTTGTCTCCTATTAGATCGCACCTCTTATTAGTCACCATTCATATGAAGTATTTCCTATATATCAGGTTTCTGATTCCACTACAGAGGCAATAATAATGCAGAGGCAATCATTGATCTTTTTCTTATATAATGCAATGGCAAATCACAATATTAATAAAAAGCCACTAGATAGGCTGTTTCAGTACTAGAAGGGAGGATATGAAGAAAAAAGTGATCAAGAATAAGCTAAGTTTTTATAAAGAGTTAATCTATTAAAATGTAAATTTTGTAAATTTACTACTAAATGTAAATGTAAAAACTACTACTTAATTAACTAGTAGGATTTCTTCTATTTATATGAGAAAAAGAAGTGGGGAGGGGAAGGGAAGGGGCGTTGGTCTTACCTGAGACGCCCTTTCTCTGAGTAGCTCCAGGAGAATGCAAGAATGGGTTGTCTTGTCTGTTGTGCTTAGAGACCGAGCTGTCAACTTTGTGGCCACGCCCGTCATCACTCTCTTTGGCTCAGTTTCAGCGAAAATGTAGCTGTAAATCAAATCTCAAACAAGGTTAATGATAGCTCCTGGCTTCCAACCTAGAGGTCGCCAGAGTGGGGTTGCATTCTCCCGGAGCTACTCAGAAAAAGGGTGTCTCAGGTAGGACCAACGCCCCTTCTCCTGAGTCCTTCCAGGAGAGTGCAAGAATGGCACTTACCAAAGCCGGCTGATCTAAAGATGTGACGCCGCTTGATTGGAAGTCCTCGTATCCGCGTGCACTCTTTGCAGGACCCTCCATCCAAAGGATGCTTCCACCAAAGCAAATACATCCAATTTGTAATGGTGAATAAAGGGCGAAGGAGAAGCCCATGTCGCCACTCTGCAAATTTCTTTGATGGATGCTTGCATAGCCCATGCTGCTGTTGTTGCTGCACTTCTGGTACAGTGGGTAGTCACCCCTCTGGGAGCTGGTAAAGCCTGAACTTCATAAGCCTTAGCGATGCAAGCTCTCAGCCAACAGCCAATTGTTGATGGAGTTACCTTGGAGCCCATCAATGCAGGGTGGAAAGAAATAAACAGTGCTTCAGTCTTTCTAATAGAGGAAGTCCTCCTGAGGTAAATTCAGATGGCCCTCCTCACATCCAAGGTGTGCCATTTCTTCTCCAGGGCATGAGATGGCCTTGGGCAGAAGTCTGGCAGGATGATTTCCTGGGCCCTGTGGAGTCAGGTGTTCACCTTGGAGACGAAGTAGAGATCCATCCTGAGGACCACTCTGTTCTGATGAAATGTACATAAGTCTTTCCTGACTGAAAGAGTGGCCAGCTGCGAAATGCGCCTGGCTGAAGTGATGGCTACAAGAAATGTGACCTTAAAGGTCAGGAAACGCAGGCTGACAGTGGTTGAAATGGTGTGGAGGTTAGGGCTTGTATGACCTTTGATAGAGGGGCATCTGTGAATCACAACTGGTTTCAGGTTTGCTGCCTCAGTGATAAATCTCTGAATGACCAGATGGTGAGCCAGAAATTCCCTTTCCCCACACGTCAATACTGTTGCAAGGGCTGCCACTTGCCTGTGAATGATGTTGTGTGACAGGCCCTTGTCCAGGCCTTCCTGGAGAAATTCCAGGGCTTGTGGAACTGACGCTGAGGTGGGAGTAATATCTGCCTTAAGGCACCAGCTGGTAAACGCTGCCCAAGTAGAATTGTAGATTCTGTTTATGGATTTCCTTCTGGAGGCCTGAATAGTCTGTATCACTCTGGAGGAGAAATTGCCCTTCCTCAGGAGGCTCCTCTCAAGTGCCAGATGGTCAGTTAGAGCCACTGAGGCTCTGGATGGGCCAATACTCCCTGGCTGAGGGAGATTCTCTCCTGTGGGATCTTCCAGTGCCAAGATACCAAAAGGTCTACCAGATCTGCATACCATGGGCGTTTGGGTCAGTTTGGGCCAGTGGGAAGCAATGAGCAGAACCTCCTCCCTCTCTTTCAGTACCTTCTGAATGACCCCTGGGATGAGGGGAAGAGGGAGGAAGGCATACAGCAGTCCCTTGGGCTATGGGCTACAGAGAGAATTGGCCCCTTCTGTTCCCAGTGTTGCTAATCTGGTGAAATATTGTGGTAGTTGAGCATTTGTCGGGGAGGTGAACAGGTCCACAACAGGCTGACCGAACTTCTCGGACAAGTCCCTGAGGAGATCTGGATGTAACCTCCATTCTGAGTGATCTATTGTAGACTTGCTGAAGTAGTCTGCCTGCACATTCACTATTCCTGCAATGTGCTCCGCTTTGAGAGAGAGGAGGTGTTCCTCTGCCCACATCCCCAATTGTTCTGCTTCTATCATGAGGACCCTGGAGTAGGTGCCTTCTTGACGGTTGATGTGAGTTTGCTAATCACATTGTTGGTAAGAAGGGGAACACTGTTGTCCCTGAATTATGTCTTTGAATTGTCGAAGGGCCAAGTGTGCCGCCCAAAGTTCCAGCCAATTGATGTTGTTGTGCAGGTCTTCCTGAGATCGACGACCCTGGACCATGTGAGACTGGAGATGGGTGCCCCAGACAAATAGACTGGCATCCGAGGTTATCGTGATGTGGCTGGGCTCTTTGAAGGCACATCCCTTCAACAGTCAAAATGAACATCTTACCCAAAATACTTTTTAAATTCCAAAATATACCAATAAGATTGGAGAAAGATTATTTCAGAAATTTGAATAAAACAGTATCTAAATTTATTTGGCAAGGAAAGATACCTAGAATCAAATTGAAATTCTTACAGGATTCAACTGGGAAAGATCCTACCAAGCGCAGCATTAACATGGGTAAGAGACTGGATAGGACTAAAAAGTAGAAGGCTATTAGTATTGGAAGGCCATGATATGCAAATGGGGTGGGATGGCATGCCTTCCTATGGGACAAAAAACACAAGACTCACCAGTACTTTCAGAGGCACCCTATAAGATGAGCCGTACAGGAAACCAGGCAGCTCTAATCACTTTTAAACTGATTTTCTAGCCAGGCTAGGGTGCCATCCGAATCGCGATAAAATTGGTATAAAAACCTGTTCCTGAGAGTGCAACAAGTCCTAATTGAGTTGACACATCTGATCTAAGCATAGACGGAGCCGAATCTGGGCCAGAGAGGGTGACGACGGGGCGTGGCCACAAAGTTGACAGCTCGGTCTCTAAGCAGAACAGACAAGACAACCCATTCTTGCACTCTCCCAGAAGCACTCAGGAGAATATGATATATTTACAGGATGGAAATGCAGGGGGTCTCTATTTTATGTGTCTTGAAAAACCAGTTTTAGCAAAGAACCAAGACATTTCTGATTTCTCTTATATTATTTGTTGCAGTTGGATGGTGCAATTGCTACATATAAGGCTTTTAGGGCTTTTATATTTATTCATATAGTCATAATGTTGCATTTGTCTTCTGTAATATAAATACCTAGTTTCAACTGTTTCATAATATTGATATTTGATTTTACTTGGTAGAATAAATGCTACATACTGTGTGTGTGTGTGTGTATGTATGTGTGTGTGTATGTATGTGTGTGTGTGTGTGTGTATGTATGTATGTATTTTCACCCACCAGATTCCTAGGTTAATATGGAAAGCATTAATGGAGAATAGAGACAAGAAGGAGCAACAAATACATTGCTACTGTCACAGAAGATCTTAAAAAAAGAAAAATCCATAGTATCAAAACTTGACAATCATAATCTATCATCTGCAAAGTCACAAAAATGAAATGGTTTTTTTGTTACTCATTGTCTTTTATTGTTCGTTGCAGCAACTTTGACAAGTTATTCTGAAAATGTGGATCGTGCTAAATATGGAGGGGAAAGTAGTAAGGAATTAGGATCTGGAGGAAACCTGAAGCCTTGGCAATCTCAAAAATCCAATATAGACTCCTGTTTATATAGAGTAGATGAAAACATGACAGCTTCTACATACAGTTTGAATAAGATCCCTGACCGGAATCTAGAGACCATTTTATCTCAGTCAGTACAATCCATTCCTCTTTATCTCATGCCACGGCCCAATTCTGTAGCAGGTAAGAATCTTATCCAGCAGGTTATAATTAATTTTTTTTGTAAAATTATTTGGACAAATTATTCAAGTGTAAGTATAAGATTATACTTACATTTTATAAGTTATTCTATCTTATTCTATCATTTTGATTGTTTGATTCTAGATTTTTGTTTGTACTGAAGATTTGTTTGTCCCTCTTTGAGGGAGATGTGTGGTATAGAAATATGATCAATTAATTAGTTAATTATTAAAAGCAAAGCAAAAGCCCCACTGCTGGTAATATCAGAACTGTTTGGAAAACACAACGCTTAGCAATCCTGTATTGATATCACAATCCATGAAAGCTTCAGGTGACAGCCATATAAGCCTATAAAGTTTATATTTGTGATAAGAGAGACACTCGTAATTACCTGTTTTAGACTTTAAACTTGGTGATCTTGTGAAAAAAATTGAAACCAATTATTATTTATCTGATAATTATTCTACTGTCTTGAATTCACTTTTTAAAATAATAATTTTATTAATGTTTACAAAGATAAAATTAATGCAAGCTAAGAAAAAATGTAAAAAGGAAAAAGGGATAAAGAAAAAGAAAAGAAGAGAAATAGATTTAAAAATCTCCCATATCCTCCCAGACAAGTATAAAGAATTACAATAATTTAATGTTTTCTTTGGAACTTCAATAAAAGAAAGAAAAATAATTTATTCTTACTTTATAGTGGAGCAAAACTCAAATTTTTTCAAATGTTTTCTTTAATAAATTAGTGCTTTTTCTGGAGAAAGGTATTAAAACAGAATGTTTAATTTTTTTTATTTAAGATCAAATAAACAATTAGCTCCCTTCCCCCCTTTTCTTCAGTTATTATTTGACTAGATTTTAATTCTTTTTAAATATTTGTCTTTCTTTTTAAGAAAAAATAATCAAGAAATGTAATATCTTTATAGCACTTACAGCAATAGCACTTAGATACCATTTCATAGTGCTTTTACAGCCCTCTTTAAACGGTTTACAGAATCAGCATATTGCCCCCAACAATCTGGGTCATCATTTTACCCACCTTGGAAGGATGGAAGGCTGAGTCAACATTGAGCCAGTGAGATTTGAACTGCCGAATTGCAGCTAGCAATCAGCTGAAGTAGCCTGCAGTACTGCACTCAATCCACTGCACCACCTTTATTTTACATTATATATAAGGGAGAATAATTTAAGTTCCACTGAAATTAAAGAACCAAAATGAATGAGTATAAATATTTTAAGGAAAATAAAGTGAGCTTCTAATTTAAAAAAAATTACAAATAAGAGTTGCATAATTAGAGCTATAATCAAAATAAAGACAATACTTAGTATCAGATTTAAGGTTCTTGATTTATACTTTGTATAATATATTTATGAATATATCTGATTACCTTTTATGGACAGCCACCAGCTCAGCCCACTTGGAAGATCTAGCTTACTTAGATGAACAGAGGCATGCTCCTCTACGAACATCTCTCAGGATGCCTCGTCAAAGTATGGTTGGTACCCGCACACAACAGGATCTAAGAGGTAGAGATAATGTGATTCATGTATATTAAGTCTTTTATCTGTTCTTTAAATATTTTGGAAATACGCTCTTCCATCAATCGTGGAGAAAATGTGATTCATGTATATTAAGTCTTTTATCTGTTCCTTTAAATATTTTGGAAATATGCTCTTCCATTGTGAGTTGTGGCAGCAATCTTCTCACTAAACCTATTTTAATAAATACTGAAAAACTGAATTTAGCACCCTTAATATAAAATATAATTACTATTGTCTAGCCACTCTCCAGAGGACATTTGGGGAAGAAATAGAATATTGAATTACATCTGAAATGTATGTGCTATGTGGGAAAAACAAGTTATAGCATTTGTTGTTCTTCATGGTGCATGATTTTAAATCCCATTACTGTTAGCAAATCAAAAGTGGTTCAGAGTCTTCAGATTAGAATGACTCAGAAATGTGAGTAAATAAAAACATAATAAACAGTAAGAAGGATACTGAAGTGGAGGTTGGAAGGTGAAATGGAATCCTTCAGACTCTGACTCACACTCCTATGACTTGGTTTCTAGTTTCCTTTGCTCCTTTCTGGGCAAGGTAGGAACAAAAAGAATCTAAAACATATTAGGGTTAGGGCTAGTTTGCAGCAGCAGTCTTTTTCTTTTTAGAGACACAGCTACTGCTTGTTCTGAGATGAGAGAATATTTCTGTGCTCCAGGGGGGATTCCTAAAGGAATTAATCCTTGGTAAACATTTCTAGTAGAGTAAGATTATTATGATTTGTTGCACAGTCAACCAGATGTTGAGACTGGGTTTGGCATTTTAATGTTTTTGGAAAGTACTTGCTGGTTACTGCCATATCCACTATCCAGACATTTTTGTATTTTTGATCAACAATTTGTAAGTCCGGGTGTTATGTGGCATATGCCTGTCTATTTGAATTCTAAAGTCCCAGAGTAATTTAGTTTCCTAATTTTCTATGACTTCCTCTATTTTATGATCCCACCAGTTCTTGCTTGCAGGCAAGTGATATTTCTTGCAGATTTTTCCACTGCACTGTTGTTGCTACTTTGTCATGCTATTGTTTATAGTCCGTCTGTGCAAGCTTCTTGCAGTAACTTACCAGGTGATCCACTGTTTCTTCAGCTTCTTTGCATACATAGCACTTACTGTCTGTTGTCGTCGTCTGTTGTTGTCTGGTTTTGTATTCATTTGTTCTTAAGACTGGTCTTGTGCAGCCAGTCTTAGTCCCTTGGTCCCATTCTTCAACTTTTCTGCTTTTAGCCATTGCCAAGTTTTGTTATTATCTGCTTTTCCCTGCTGATTTTTTAATGTACTGACCATGTAGTGCTTTGTCTTACCATATCTCCATTGTATTCTTCATTTGTTTTTTCTTGTAGGCCACTTTGTTCAGTAATCAATAAACGTTCCTGATATACTAATTTAAGTGCATCTTCTTCATTGTCGTTCAGATATCCTTCCAAAGTCATTTTTTGTCTTCAACTATCTGATGTACTTGCAATATTCCATGCCCACCTCTTTACCTTGGTAGGTACAGTTTGTCAATGTCTCTGCAAAGATGAAGGGCATGATTCATTGTCATTTTCTGCTCTTCCTATCCATGGCTTTTAGTTCTGCTTGAGTCTAGTCAACTATTCCAGTTGTATATCTAATGACTGGAATTGCCCAGGAGTTGATTACTTAGATGGTATTTCCTCCATTGAGTTTGAACTTTAAGATCTTATTTATTTTCTTGATGTATTCACCCCTAATCTTTTTCTTGACTTCAGTGTACTTGATGTTGTCAGCTTGAAGGATACCCAGTTTTTTTGTAGTTATCATCTTCATCCAGACTCTTGATATTATTTTCATAGGGCATCTTGATTCCTTCAATTTTCACTATTTTTCTATGTTTGATGATGAATGTGGCACGTTTATTCATGCCAAACTCAATATATATATGGATAGTGTTGAGCAGTGATTCTGTTTCAAGTGGTTTTTTCCAAACAGCTTCAGATTGTCCATGTAAATGAGGTAGGATAATCTGGCAAGTGTTTTTGATATTTGACACTCTTGGTCTGAGTTATTCAGTATTATGGACAGAGGAATCAGTGCAATGACAAACAGTAGTGACGATAGTGAATCTTCTGAAAATATTCCTGTCTTGATATTAACCTCTCCCAGTCTCTCATCATTGACTTACAACTGTGTCTTCCATTGTGTTGTCAATCTTTGTACAAAACCTCTGATGTTTCTACTAATTCCTGTTGTTTCTAGGCACTTGACTATCCAGCCATGTGCAGAATATCAAATACTATCTTATAGTTAATTCATGCTACATTTAAGCTGGTCTTCCTTCTCTCACAGTTTTCCAAAATCATCTTGTCAATTGGGAGTTGATCTTTTGTTCCTCTGCTATTGGGGAAGTTTCCTTTCTGCCCAGGTGGAAAGAGATTGTTTTCAACTAGATCAGGTGTATCAAACTCGCTGCCTATGGACTGGATGCATCACATGCTGACCACACCTAGTTTAGCGAAGGGGGGAAAAGTCACAATACGTCACGTGATGACACCGTGACGATGCGAGTTTGACACCCCTGAACTAGATGCATCAGCTACCACATCAGTTAACAATTTTAAAGTTGTTTGTAAGCAGGTAATTGGCCTGTAGTTGCCTGGTGCTGCCCCTTTTGTTGGATCTTTCATTATCAGGTACATTTTGCCAGATGTTAGCCACTCTTCAATTTCACCTCCTTATAATATGTTGTAAAACTTCTTAGTAACAAGAGTATAGACAAGTTAGATGTTTCAACCAAAAAACATGCAATTCATCTTCACCTGATGCTAACCAATTGTTCATCTTCCTTGCTCTTTTCTCTATCATTTCTGCCATTATTACTAGTTCTTTCATTTCTTTTTTATTCTTATCCACCTCCTTTAACTTTTATTCTGCGTCCTTGTTGTATTATTTTGGGTTATCCCATATATGCGCTCAGAATTGCACTGTTTCTTCCTTGTCCGGTAATGACTAATTCACTGCAGTTTCTCCATTGATGGATTGGTAGAAACATTTCTGATTGGATTGAAATTGAAGTTTCGGCCTATAATTTGCAATTTGAGCTTTGTATCTGCTGATTCTCTTAACTACAACTGTTATTTGCTGCTTTATTATTTACAGAACTTGCTTAATCTTCCTTGTTTCTAAATAGTATTTCTTGATTAGATATTCTTTGGTTTTGTTCTTCAGCTTCTTATCTTTCATATGTTCTAGCTTGTTTGCATCTGATCTCAATTTGCTGGTCTTATTTTCCAGTCTAATTTTTCATTTTGTTGATGCACTGTTTGGCTCCCTCTCCCTTTCTTTGTTGATTTTTGCATCCCAGTTATTCATTTATAACTGCAGTTTGCTGTACAATAATTGGTTTTCTTTTTTGCAATGAGTTGATGCTTATATTTGATATTGCAGTATTTACATCTTTTAATGCTTATGGTAGCTGTTTCTTTTGAACAAGCTTCAATGCAGGCAGTGTTATTCTGATGTTTTTATGCTGTTCTATACCCAATTATTCCTTGTTTCTGTTCTTTTACTTCTTTAGTTAGAGGACTTTGTTCTTTCTGAAGCAGACAAGAGGGATACTGAACGTTGTTCTTTCCAGATATCCTCTTCTTGTTGGATTTGATCTGTAATAACAGAGAATAGAGAATAGAACAGAACAGAACAATTGGAAGGAATCTTGGAGCCTTTTAGTCCAACCTTCTTGTCAGGCATGAAACCCTATACTATTTCAGACAAATATTAAATGGTTAATCTCTTCTTAAAAACTTTCAGTGTTGGCGCATTCACAACTTCTGGAGGCAAGTTGTTCCATTGATTAATTGTTCTAACTGTCAGGAAATTTCTCCTTAGTTCTAGGTTGCTTCTCTCCTTGATTAGTTTCCCTCCATTGCTTCTTGTCCTGCCCTCTGGTGCTTTGGAGAATAGCTTGAATCCCTCTTCCTTGTGGCAACCCCTGAGATATTGGAACACTGCTTTCATATCACTTCTAGTCCTTCTTTTCATTAAAATGGACATACCCAGTACCAGTCTTTTCAATTAGTAATGGTGAGTCTGCGGGGGTAAAACAATATTCTTCCGAGCTTTCATTATAGACATGAGTCAAGTTACAAGCTAGTGTTATTTCGAACATTATTTGTATATAATATTGTGAATTATAAAATAATAAAATGAATAAATTCACTTCTCTAATGCAAAAAAGGAGCATGTCTTACATTTTCCATTAATTAAAAAAGATTGGGGTTATGCCCAAAATTAATTCCTGCTGTTTTTAAGAAATGCATTGAATGATTCAATGTATTGAAACTCTTATAAGAATTATTGCATATTAAACCCTAATATAAAGGGAAAGCTGCAGCAAGAACAAATTTATTCATGTGTTAATTTTTAATATTGAAGTATTTCTACATTATAAAACACTACAATCTATATATTGAATTTACAAAATTATATTAGGGGAATTTCCACATTCCTACCTTTAACCTCTAATTGGAAAAAGATTAAATAAGAAACTTAAAGGACTAAAGCAATATTTTCAAAATATATTATTTTTAGCCTTCTTTCACTTTCTTTTTTTTTACATCTAAATAGAATGGCATAATCACAGTTAATTAAAACAATTGATAGTAATAGAACTGATAGATTGTAAGCCATCGAGTCTGTATCAGTTCTCAGGGATCACATAGGTTTTCTCTAGGAATATGTTTTTGAGAACTATATTCATGTCTAGAAGAAAAAGTTTATATGTCTTTGGAGATTGTCAGATCATAGTTGTCTCAAAAGTGCTTTTTCAAAAGGCAACTGGACTGCGTTTTTTTCCTTGAAGAAGAAGAAAGAAAAAAGAAAACAGTCCAATTTCCTTTTGAGACAAGAAGTATTATACTTTCCTAACTGAGTGTCTTCTTTATTCCTTTGCAGTTCGTTTTGCACCTTACAGACCTCCTGACATCTCTTTGAAACCCCTGCTTTTTGAGGTACCTAGCATCACCACAGAGTCCGTGTTTGTTGGCCGGGATTGGGTGTTCCAGGAGATCGATGTACATTTACAGAGTACTGATGCCAGTGTGAACAGAGGTGTGGTGATAGTTGGAAACATTGGCTTTGGCAAGACAGCAATCATCTCTAGGCTGGTTGCACTGAGCTGTCATGGCACACGGATGAGGCAGATTGCTTCAGACAGTCCCCATGCATCCCCAAAACGTAAGTGAACCATTACGTTCCTATATAAAAATTGCTTATTATATGAACTTCATATTCATATTTTTAGTAAATATTTCAACTTTAGTTTTATTGCAATGCGAGTTGAAATAAGTGTATGCAATAGTTCATTTATGGTTGTGCATGGTGGTAAATTAATTTAATTGAAACAATTAAGTGCCAAGCTTACACAGTGAGGATAAATGCAAGAAAATCATAGTAGCTACCCCTAAATACAGAATTGTCCTTTTCGAAATCTCTTTTTCAAAGGAATACTCTGTAAAAAGTTCAAGCCTTAGGACAGCAATCCCCAGCCTCGGGACGGCAATCCCTAGCCTGTGCTTGGTAGCCCGGTGGGAGGAGAACTGACCTGTATAGGTAGTGGGCTATGAATGCATGTGCATGTGTTGGCCTGCATGTGTGCGAGTAGAGCTGTGCATGCGTGCTGACCCGATACTCGCATGGCTCACTTCCAAACTGGTCACAGCCCGGGTAATGGGCTGCTGCCCAGGGTTTGGGAATCCTGCCTTAGGAGACTTCTTAAGTTATATGAAATATCCAAGAATGTATGTTGGTAAGATAGTGGAGGTTAATGCTACATGACCTTGGTGATATGGCTTGATTAATTTTTAATTTTAATATCTTTAGTCAAATCTGGATTAGATTGGATTTGGGTCCCAAAACAGCTTTTCAGCTGTTTTGGGACTGTGCTACAAGCTACTCTGGCCACTTCATTAACTACTATGGTTGCATTTGTTGCATTGTCAGGCCCATGAGACAAGTATTGGAGAATAGGTATGGTGGGCAAGTGTTTGAGATAAGGTTTTGAGACTGGGCTGGGCATTTCTGAGTCCAGAGAACAGGCTGGAGGGTATCAGAGATTGATGGAATGGTTGGAGTAAACAGTAATGTGCCATGGGATGGGCATTGATCACATTAGAAGGTTGGATTATGTCCTGGTCATGCTGGGATGAGTGTGTGTGTGGGGTGTGTGTGGATGAATGCCTTTGGTTTGTTTAATCTACAGTTTCATAAAATGGTTTGGTAACATTTATAGAAAATTATGGACAACATTATCATTCAAATAATAAGGCTTTAGTGGGAAGTATTATTTCATTTATAGTAGGCTGTGTCAGCATTGTAATCTGTCCTGATTTTATGTAACAGTATTATTTGCATTATTTCCCTTCTATGTTTCTACATTTGCTTCTTGCTTTTGGCTTGTATCAGGAGAATTTGTTCTTTCTCTGTATTACTTTAAATAGACTTTTATTTTGAAATACATTTTTAAAAAAATCTATTAATATAATTTGTTTTTTCTTTTGCTGTCTAAGATAAAAGTTTACAAAATACTGTGTTTCCTCAAAAATACTACATGTTCCGAAAATAAGGCCAGGCCTGATTTTTGGGGTAGGTGTAAATATATCCCTCCCTGAAAATAGGCCCTAGTGAGGGGGTAGTGTAGCCAGCACAGGAGGAAACCCTTCCCTTCCCTGGTCACCTCAAGGCTTCTTGGCCCCTTAATCGGATCAGCTGAGCCGCTCCAGCTGCCATTCACAAAACAGCTGATTTGCGGGTGCGGCTCAGGTCGCAGCCTCCAGCAAGCATGGCTGCTTTTGCCATCAATTGCGGCCACAAAAGCAGCAGGGGACCAAGTGATGCAACCCAGGTGCCTCGCACTGGCATTCCAAAGAGTACTGTAGCAGCAGCTATTCACAAATCTTTACCATTATTTCATCCCAACCCACATGGCCCAGTGAGCCACATGGGTAGGGACAAAATAAGGGTAAAAAAATTGTGGATAGCTGCTGCTACAGTACCCTTCAGTAGTTCAGTGTGAGTCTCCTGCTGCAGAAATGGCTGCACTCAAGGAGCACTTTTGGGAGAGAAGGCAAAAGGGATCAAGTGATCAATTTTGTCTCTCCTCTTGCCCTCAGCTCCCCCCCCTTGCCTCTCCAAGGGTCTCTCCCAGAACCCTGGCAGAGCTCAAACAGAGAAGTGTCCTACAGGGTTTCAGGAGCAAAGTTGAGGCTGAGAGGAGCCATGGCGGGGGAAAGTCCAGTGCCACCCCAGTGCTCTTCTTTTCTTGGAAATGGAATTTTGGGAGGAGGAAATGGCATCTCAAGGTATGGTAGGTATGTCAGTATGTGTATAAAAAAACAGCGAGGGAACCAGCAGCTGCAGATTAAGGAACTTTGTGAAATGTCATGACTACATGCAAAGTTTGGTGTGGGAGGGGGAAAAGATACTTCCCTTGGCAATGTTTTGCTTGAAAACATTTGAGAATCAGACCAGAGAGAAGGAACTCTGCAAGGAAACGCTGCCGACACTGCCACCTGCACAGACACAGACAAACAGAGCGAAATTGAAGATGCTTCCTCTTTGGCTGGCCCACAAGACTATCTGCAGGGGAGAGATTTCCTGCACATAGGCAGCGGCATCTCCTCACAGGGCTTCTTCCGACATCCCAGATGTATGGATTTCCATGCCTTCCTTTACAGGATGTTGCTTTGCAGCTGGGGCATCGGGAAAAGCCCTGTGAGGAGACGCCGCTGCCAATGTGCAGAAAATCTCTCCCAAACCCCCACCCCCACCCCGCAGATCATCCTTTCAAAGAGAAGTTTCACCAGGATGAAAAGGTGGCTGTAGGCAGCATTTGCATCAGACTGGCTTTCTTCGTAAGGCGACAATCTGGGGAGCGAGAGATTTAGTTGGGTGGGGCAGTTTCTCCAGTGAAGCATCTGATTCATCCCCAGGAGTGAGCATTTCGTCCTTCGCTGTGTCTCTGCCCCAGCTGCTGGAAGACTTGGCAGCAGGCCACTGGCCTGACTGGCCTCTTCTCCACTTCCAGCAGCTTCTGGCCAGTGCTTAGAAGCTGCAGATGAAGCCTCCCATGCCTGGTGAGGGTGGGAGAAGAGACAGCAAGAGCACCCACATCTCACTCCATGCATCTCATTTCTCCTCCACCTGCTACTCCTCTCAATAAAAAGATGGCGGGGGAGGGAAGCAGCCAGGATTCTGCTGCCATTGGGGCAGGGTGGGAAGTGTTGGGCTGCGAGACACATGTCCTACCTGGGACTTGCAGCTCCATCGCGTTCCTCGCCATTTTGTCCAGGGAAGCATCTTGTAAAAAAAACCTTTCAAATTCAAGAAGTTTGATTGAACTCATGAGATTTTTTGACCAGGTTTCCCTGGACAAAATGGTGAGGAATGTGATGGAGCTGCAAGTCTCAGGTAGGATGTGTGCCTCGCTTCTTCCCCACCCCACCTGCCAGAAATGAGTCTTTGTGAGATTCGTCGCACCGCCGCCTCGTGGAGGAGGACTCTGCAAGGCTTGTATCTTTGCCCGCACAAATGGCAGGATCGACATATCAGTGCAGCTGCGAACAGCAGAATGCCAGCTGTGCCGATATGATGAAGCTCACGGCGGTGCTGCTGTTTGTGTGTGCAATGGCACAACAAGCCTTGCAGAGTCCTGCTCCACGAGTCTGGGCGGGACACGTGAGGGCAGCACCAGTCAGCCGCTCGACTGGCATGAAGAACAGGGAGGGGAGGTGACGGGACATCAGTCCCATGCTTGCCGCCTCCTGCACCACCAAAATAATAAGACACCCCCCCCCCCAATAATAAGGTCAAAGTCATATTTTGGGGGTCAAAAGAAAATAAGACCCTGCCTTATTTTCACAGAAACATGGTAGTATTTTTTAAAAAATCATTCAGAGTAATTAAATGCTATGTGACCTTTCAGAGACTAATCTTTTTAAATATGAGTTATAGAAGAAGAATCCAGAGCAAATTCTTCACAATTCATAATAATAAAAGTAATAGAGTTTGAAAGAGCCTTGGTATTCTGGTCAAACTCACTGCTCAAGCAGAGGTAGGGGACCCTGTAGCATTCCAAACAAATGGCTGTCCAATTTCTTCTTAAAAACTCACATGATTCCTTATGCTAACTCATATTTCTATCTATGTATGAATACAGTTTAGGATTTTCTGCTCTATCGTCCTTCACTTAATTTAATCACAAGCATTGCCATTCAACTCTGTATCCTTAAGAGACCCGATAAACTCTAATCTGTTTCTATTCATCTACATTACAGATGTTGATGCAAATCGAGAACTTTCCCTTACTCAGCAACCCTCTGCTCACCCCTCCATTACCAGTGGCAGTTGTCCCGGAACACCAGAAATGCGCAGACGTCAAGAAGAAGCTATGCGAAGACTTGCTGCTCAGGTATAAAATGGTTATTCCATTAAATGTTTTTCTTTTCATTTAAGAACCAAAATCTGAGTCTGCCTTCATGGCAGAGGGAATGTGGCAAGGGAAGTTGCTAATATACTTTAAGCAATTACACAAGAATTAATATAT